GAGAATGTAAATACGCTGGCTCACTATATTCAATGCAATCGAAATGTGGGGAAGGGGCACTAGCGGTCATGCACTTGCGTACGACGACGAGGAGCCATGTGCATGTTTGCAGCACCTGCGTTCTCGTCCTTGCGGATACGCGGTCAACGGAGGGCGATGGCAGCTGGTGCCTGATGCGCATGGTTTTTCTGAATGTGGAACAAGTGCCTCTCAGAGGCGGTGAGAGTCAACAATCGCAGTGAGAGTAGGGCCGATATACACGGGCAGTTTGTGAGAAGCCCGGAGACAGTTGACAAGCGTTTGAGGGCAAAATGCAGAAGGGCCTGGGCTTGAATCGAAGCTAACGTGACTCCGCGCAGGAGGTGAGCACTGTGAACACGAGGATTTAACGAGACTGCGGGACAGATATATATTCGTCGAATGGGTGCGACTATCGTGTGCGTCGAACAGATCGTGGATGAGCAGATGTTGAGGGTGAGAGTTGTGGGTGGTTGCAGTATGTTAGACGACAGGCGACGCTGCACACCGTCTTGACGATTCGCGTGACTTCATGGGGTTATTGCGGGCAACAGAGTTGGTGGCATGTGGTCAGCGAGGAACAGGGATGGCAAGTGCTATTTTCGCAGGGGTGGACTATCCTGACCGACGTGGCGACGGCTGCGCATTGGCAGGAGAGGAGGGGCAGTTTGACGGGTGTACGCAGGCGGGGATCAGCTCGTTTATGGACGCATTTACACGTCAAAAATAACGACTCGTTGTGTACGGTAACAGTGTGGAGTAGGCTTGCGTGGAGGGATGTCCTGTAGGGTCGCTGGCGTCTCATCAGCGCAGACGGCGGCGATCGCGAGTTGTGCGTCTGCCCCTTCAGCACGTCTCGCCACAAAAGGAAGGCATACGCTGTGCACTTTGCAGTAGAGCGGGTGAGAATGGTGGTTGCTGTTGGATGGACGGCGGCTGATCGGGTCGCGGAACCGGAGGAAATGAGAGAACCTGACGCGTAGCGAACGCTGGCCTAAGCGCAACTTATTATTTTGTCGACACCAGGGAGTAAGCACGTTTGCTTGTCTCACCGCGACTGCCTTGGTCAGCAGTCTTTCGGAATGGTGCTGCAGGTTCTGTCGAGGTGTGGGCCTTGAGTCGTGTGAGAAGCTGGAGTAACAGTTGGCGCATGTAGGAATAGTTGCATCCGCTAGA